GGGGAATTAAGCTCTCCATAAGTCCACATTATGATTATGAATGACATGTTCAATTATGATTTTTCGGAGAAGAAGTAGCAAGTCGAGTGTTTTCGTAGACGAATAGTATAGATAACTAGTACGTTTCCCGCGCGTTGCACGACCTAATATTATAAATGGTGTGAATGAAAGAAAATTTAATAGAAATATATTTTTTTAAAAATTTATTGAGATAATGTAGAATAATTTTTTATTAATTCATTTAAAAATACTTCCACAAATACAACATCTATAATAGGTGAACTGTGTTTGTTATCACCAATAATAATAACAATAATTAGACAACATGGATCGTGACTCTAGAAACAATAATAATTAACAAAAAAAAGAAATTATAAAATCCCATATGATTTGTTTTAGAAAAATTTAAAATTAAATTTTTAAGCATACAAAAATTTGTGATATACCATGACAAAAATTATTGGTCACATTAATGACGTCTTCAAAAATTTTCATAAAAATGTATGTGATAACATAATTTTCATGGTTCAAAAAAAAAAATAAAAATTCATGATTACTATTGTACAAATAAACTAATATTGAATATTAATGTTAACATGTACGAAGATAAAAAAAAATTAAAATATATAAATACAAATTAAATATATAATAAAAAATAAAATAACTTCTATCTGCATGTATTTAATTTTAAATTAAGTCTATATATTTTTCTTTTACTTTTCATTAACGAAATAGACTCATTAACTCAATATTAAAATATTTATTTTTTTCATAAAATTCATGAGAATTGTAATTCAATGTAATATTAAAATACTTATTTGTGCATAAAACCAATGAAAATTATAATTCTGTATATTATAGTAAAACACTTTGAAAAATTTTGTAATGTAATACAAAAAAACATTAAAATTATATTATATAAAATATCAAAGAAATAAAATAAAATTAACAGTATGATACGTGATAAAGAAAAAGTGGTTGATGCATTATAATAAGTTTGTGGTTAACTTTATCTACTACAACGTTCAATTGTGATAATATGATCTCATCATTCTCTTATGGAAAAAAAAAAAACATTTTTGATATGGACAAAAATTAAATGATAATTACCCATTACTATTTATAATTTTTTTGCATTAAATTTTTTTATTATAATAATAATATTATTGTTATTATTATTATTATTATTATTATTATTATTATTATTATTGCATGAAATTAATGAGAACTGTAATATATTAAAGTACTTATTTTTCCAGGAAATCAGTGAAAACGATAATTCAATGTAATTTTTAGAAATAAAAATTGACAAACTTTTTTGTAAAGTAATACGAAAAATAAATTTAAGTTATATTATATAAAATGTATTCAAACAAATTATTGTGAATTAACATTTTGATATATACTAAGAAAAAAGTAGTGGATTCATTATAATAAGTTGTGTTTAACTTATCACTACAACATTCAGTTGCGATAATATACTCTCATCATTCTCTCATTAAAAAAAAAAAAAATTTGTTTATAAACAAAAGTTAAACAATAAATGGCACACTATGCTACTTTTATTATAAAATTCTTAGCTCTATAATTGTGTATTTATTATAAAAATTAAGTGTTGTCATTTTTCACTAACTTTTATATAACCTCAAATTTAAGATCAATATAAATAAAACAAATGATTATCAGATATATTCAATCAATATGATCATTTTGTCTTCTGAGTCAAAACTATATAAATACTTATTTTAACTCTCTTATTGTTGTTGAGACTCCTCACTCTTTATGTTACCATTTTCTATTTTTTCTTTTACTCAAGTAAAGGTTATTCAACACTTTTTAGATGTTAAAGGACAAAGGAGGATTAGAGATACAGCTGTAGATCCATTTAACAATCTATTTCATATGGATATGATATTTTTTTCTTGAAAAATACATCTCTTTTAGTCGTTAAATTATGTTATATATGATAAATATAACATCATTATTTTTTTATTTCACTCTATTTGTATTTTATTTATTATTTAAAAAAATATATTATAAAATAAAATAAACAAAGTATGAAATTTGGAGGTCTAAGTTCACATTTTTGTTAAAAAAGAATGACACATTGACTTGACTAATTCTTACTTCAGCTCACATCAGAGTTTGTGAATGATTAGATATTTTACAATTTAAATTAAAAGATCTTGTTTTGGAATGAAGTACTCAATACAAATAAATTAATGATCGCTTGTAATTTCTTAGAATTATATAAAGATATAAAATAATATAATATTAGATTAATAAGAGATTGTTACATATTTTCTTAATGTGTATGTAAATTCCATCAATATAGAGTATATGTTGAAAATGTGGTATGATGCTACTATTAAATATTTTTATGAAAACATATGAACATATATATGTTAAAATAAACAATGACGAATTTAAATTGACATATCAAATCTAAAAAATCATCTCTATATATGCATATAGATGCCAAATTAAAAACTATAAAAATATTTGTTTCTTATGTTACATATAGATATCATATTAGTTATGATTTTTTCTATTTTACCTTGAAATATACCCAATATAACCAAAAACATAATATTGTATTTGATGTTCCAATAAAAATATTAATTAAATACAATATTTGACTTTAAATTTTGTTTTAGTGATTAATTAAATAAGATATATTATTATAAAAAAAATATATTATAAAAGAAAAAGAACTCATACTCACAAATGGGAAGAAAGACAAATAATAAGTGAGATATTGGGATGAGAATTCATAATAAATAATTATGTATAATATTAAACATTATTTGTAACAAATAATTGATTATGAAAAAAAAGTATATAATTGGGATTTGTATAATAATTGATTATGACTAAAATAATTGATTTATGATATTGTTTGAATGGTAAATAATATATAGAAATTAATAAAATTTATTTCATGGTAATAGATGTAGTTAAAGCATTTATTTAGGCAAGAAAAATTGGAGTGCAAATTTCAATACAATTATGATATAAATTAATTGTTTATATGACATAAATTTTTTGTTGATAAATGATGCATAGAAATTGATAAAATTTATTACAATATATTAAATGTAGTTTTGGAGGGAAATTTTGAGCTACTTTGCTTTAATATATATATAGATATAGATTCAACTCAAGTTGCCCAAAGGAGTTCTACGAAGAATAATACCTAATTATTCATTAAGGGTAAATGGGTACATGTACCCCTTGGATGTAAACCAAGTGGTACACCAAAAGGTACAAGTAGCATTATTCTAATACCAAATGGTTCTATATAGGATTGTACTCACAATATTGGTTTGATCTAAATATAATTCAGTTGTATAATTCCTCAATGTTTTCGCTTTTGTGAACCAAGCAAGTGTCTCATTTACGAAATGACCAAGTCACAAGCACGTACAACAGAAACACTACAAATTGATAGAATACATAACCCAGTTTCATCTTCCTCCGGAAACTGACACTATCTTGCACTGAAAATGGGCTCTGCCCCCATGCTTGGCTGACTTCTTCGAGTATATTTCAGGAGCAAACCTTCCGAAGAAAGTCCAGGCACTCTTAGATCCCTGCAAATGCAATTGCCCGAAAAGTTCAAAAAAAGAAAAAATAAATAAAATAAAATAAAAGGTAACGCAAAATTTGATACGATATAAGAGGATTGTAGCAGTCTCAGACCGGACATATGGCTCTAAGTCCTTCCACTCCCATTTTTGCCTCTCCCGAAACAGCACAGCAAACCGGTCAGCAGGTTCAGACGGCAGACAGCTCTTACTGAACCAATAAACCCAAGTTTCCACACCAAGCTTCTCCGTCAGCACTTCACCTTGCAAAACCTCAAAACCTGCATTCATCCCTTCCGGAAGCTTCCGACTCCACCTCTCCACAAAAACTTCCATTCTCATCTTCCCTTCCCTTAAAATCTCTCTAGCTACACCTGCGCACACGGCCCTCTTCTCCAGCTTCCACCTCCCCTCACCACCTCCCATACTGCAAAACATTCGTAAGCAATGCTTGGCCACATTCCTTGGAAACCCGTCCCTTTCGAGCACCCCCACAACATCACCTTCGTCCAGTGCATCAACGGACCAGTCGTTCAGTATTATGTTGTGCAGAAGCATGTTCAGTATCCCGTTCATGTACTCTTCGTTCAAGATTCGCCAGTACCCATCGATTTCAACAGCTGAAAGGGACTGTAGACCCAATTTTATTTCCTCGTCGCTAGCCCGTAACCGATCAACAAGGTCCGCCCATTTGTACAGGCCCTTTTCAGTTCTCTCCCTCTCACACAAGATATCCATCTCAGATTCTTCACCATAACCGTAGGGATTTTGAGAGAGAAGGAGTTTAAGTTCGTCTAGCTTTGGGGCAACCTCGGTGAGCTCCATGCAACCAGGGGCGAGTTTAACGACATGTGCAACCGCGTTGCTCTCATCAACATCTTTTTTATCCGAGCTGGGGATGAGAAACATGGAGTTGGATGTCCCCACGAATTTAACACCATATGTCTTGGATGAAGTACACAGGACAACATCATCATCAGGCTGCCCTCTTAGAGTTACTCTGTCAATGAAAACCAACAGTTAATAACGAGGGAAGGAAATAAAAGGGAAATTACACTAAAACACATACACATTATATACCTATATATAATGTGTATAATGGGTATATATATGAAAACAAGAAAGTAAAGGGAAATTAAACTAACACACACACACAGACACACGGACATGTATATATATATATATAAAAAGTACACACCTCTCGTGCATGACTTCTGGAAGGAGCTTCTCATCAAGTTCGAGAAGCATAAGGTCATCGTGAGGGCCGAATAAAGAGTCATAAGCAATGGAGATTGATGAGTTAGGTTCAAGAGCTAGCACTGCTTCTGCCCCACCCGACCATTCACAATGTGGGTGTACCACAGCATCCATTTCTCCACCAGTTCCTTCGTATGATATCCACCAAACTCCAATAACTAATAGGAAAAGAGTAAAATTACAGAGTGATAACAGAACCGATGTGTCAACGCTTGCAACAGATGGAAATATGTGCAGATAAAGCAATATTTAATCAAAGCTCAAAGCGGCTTACACGGAGCTAAATGATCAATTCAATATATCAGTTCACCACGGAAACATTTCAAAACATAAATGGAAGAAATGCTGATCATTGATAACTTGTGACTTGCATAACCTTTTGACCGAACTATGCCATGAAGTCACTTGTGGGGCAAGAAAATCGAATAGATATCGACACAAAACAAATCGGGATGAGATTCGAGAAGTTTCCAAAAGTGCCATCTTCTGTCATTGTGCTTAACAAAAAACTCTTGTGCATCTTTTTTTTTTTTTTACAAATTAAAGCCGACTGCAATCACCCCAAAGGGTGACATTTTTGTATACACAGACAAAAAAACTGATCTTATTATTTCTAATTTCCCATGAGATTATTAGAAAAAAACTTTGAAATTTTTAATAATCTGCAAACACAAATAAAAGCATTCAGTACAAAAACCTTTCAGTTCATACAGACTACACAAAATTATAAAAATTCCCATCACATATTTCACAAATTCGGCAAAGCAATTGGACCATCCCAAGATATAATAGAGTTGAAAAAGAAAGGGATCCTTAGCTCTAACAACAATCAATAAGAGCCTCTCAAGTCACAGTTGCACAGCATTATACAAAAAAATATATATATACTGTATTTCACAGGTAAGTTTGGATTATTCATATGGGCAACAATGGGGTCGGAGCATTAGGAAGTTGGAATTTACCTCGTTGGAGGTTTGAAGGTGCACCAACTTCTTCGTGCCGGCGGCGCGTTGAGGATAATTGTGTTCTCTGTGCTCCAAATCTTGTGCGGTCTCGTGCCCGTGTAGTTTTAAAGTATTTTTCTAGTGGTATCGATTTACCTAACAATTAGTAACGTTTGATCATTTATTTTTTTTTTATTTTTTTTAACAAGAACGTTAAATTTGGGTCGATAGTTGTTAATTAATTAATATATTATCTTGTTAATATATTTTGGTACACAAAATACTTTTGATCGGCTGAAGTTAGGATTGCTCTGAGCTCCTCGTCGGTGGAGCGTCGTTGAAACCTGCAAAAACTCTTATAGCGGAGGGGTTTTTGGTGAAGAACATCTTAAGTTAGCATAATAAAGAACATGATGTATTGCTTCTATGTAGAGAACATAGAGAAAGTCATGCAATAGTGGGCATATCTTACTTCTTTATATGAGGAGATGATACTTTGTTGACCAAGATTGCTCGAATGGGTTGCCCAGATTGTCCGTTCGTATTGTCCGAACTATCCGATTCAATTAGGCCATGTAGCCCTATTCACGTGGGGATCGTATCCTACTAATTCTTCTTTATCTTTTGGCCTTTCTTATTAGTGTTGGGTTCTATGAGGAACAACAAGCAACATGCACAGTATTGTACTTATCGAAATAAATCCTAACGCAGCGGAATCTATAGTTAGGATATGGATATTACCTTAAAAAATATTTACCGACTCAGAGACGATATAGAATACCGTTGATGTAGTTCGTATGAACACCAAAATCTAATGGGCATATAGATTTGGCCTTTACTGGATTCTAATCGAGAAGTCGGACGGAACTCGGTCACACGGTGCGTGGGTCTCGGCGTCGGGTGCAGCAGGCTGGTCGCGGATGCTGGCAGGTGTGCGGGCGCTGGTCGCGGACAGCAGCAGGTGCGCGTCGGGCGCTGGTGATGAAGATCGTGTGTTCGACCTTTCGACAAGCCACGCGAGTGCCTTAAGTCGAGATAGGGTCTCGAAGATCCGCGTCCACAGTCCTTGGAAACAAGTAAAATTGCAATAGAATTCAAGGAAATCTATGCAAAGTATTTGAACAAAAGTTCAGATTTTTGTATGAAGAAGAATCAATGTCTTTGACAAGTACTATGCGCGCCTATTTATAAAGCTCAATTAAAGGTCTAATCCTAGTCTACTAAGGCTAATCTACTTAAACTAGGAAAGCAATAAAACATGAAACATTCTAGAAACAATGAAAGAAAATATGATTCTAATCTATGCGT